GGCCTCCAACTGCTATTGGCTGCTGGGGCAGGTCAGCTCTTACAAAGCTACAGCTGAATGAAAAGGAAAGCATGTTCATGTTTTATATGAAGAAGATGCTACTTTGGGGTTCTCTCCTTTTGGGTAATCATGTGTTTGACATTTTCAAGATATTCAGAGGTTCTTTTGCAATGTTTGCAAAAGAGAAGTTTGTGAAACATCTTCCTGTTGCAATGTTGGTTATCAATGCCTTTGAAACCATGAAGTTCTTCATTTCTAGCTATAAAAGTTCTTCATTTCTAGCTATAGAATTTCAGGTTCTCTTTTTGTTATTCAGTGCAATTGGACAGACACCACTCATAGTCTAAAAGAGGAGTCTCCAACCTTGGCAACTTTAAGGCTTGTGGACTTCAACTCCCAGAGTTCCTCAGCCAGCTTTGCTGAAAGTTGAAGTCCAAAAGTCTTAAAATTGCCAAGGTTGGAGACCCCTGGTCTAAAACATACTGAAATGTAAAGCAAGATTAATGTGTGCTGAGCCATAATGCAATTTTGGGGTTTTCTCCTATATGAACAGGGGTGGGGATCTACAGGTTGGTACCTATTTGCTAGTACCGGTTGTTAACATTCTAAGCAGTTCAGAGAATCGGTTGTTAGAATAAATTAATGGCCTAATCCTGTAAGGAAGGCAAGAAGGAAACATTCTGGTGTTGCTTACAGAAACTGCCTCTCCGTTAACCCTTATTACATTCTTGGCAGGACTAGACTTCCTGTCTCAGGAACTTCTCTGGAGGTTTTTTTCCCTCCTTTGCTGGCACTTTGCTTGTATAGAGTGACCATTCAAAGTTACAATGGCACTGAAAAAAGTGACTCATAACCATTTTTCACACTTACAACTATTGCAGCATCCCCACAGTCATGAGAGGTCAGGTGAGGAGATGCGTGCCTCGATGTGAGTGATGTTGAGTTGGCCACATCCAGCCAGTCACATTACCACCAAGCCATGCCCACCACCTAAGCCACACCCACAGAATCGGTTGTTAAAAAAAATTGAATCCCACCCCTGTATATGAATTGTGCGTTAGTCAATGTGCAGCGACTAATAAGATAAAAATGCATATAGGACTCTCACACTGACCTCCATTGATCTGAAGATCTGTACAGTCAATGTTTGAATAATCACTGGAGTCCATAAGATTTGTTGTGATGTGCAAGCTGTATGGGTAAAAGGAGTCTCTGTTAACTTTGTTCCCCATCCTTAAAACATAGACCTTTCTACCGCAAGACAATTCAACTTCTGGTGTGAGCTCAAATGTAAGGTATGGGAAGATCTCCTTAATTTCAGAGGCCTTAAGCTCCAAACTGCTCTTCACTTAACAATTCTTCTTCTATTTGATTTGTAGAGTAAGCAACAATGAGGAAATCCCTTGCAACCAGTTGGGTTTTACTTCTCCTTCTCCTGCTCCAGATGGATTCCTCTCTTTCCAAGAAGAAGCCTAAACCTGGTGGTGGCCAACGCCCACCTGGTTACCCCCAGCAACATCCTCCAAACAGACCTAATTACCCACAAGGTGGTTACCCTCAACCTTATCCTGGACATGGAGGAGGTTACGGAGGTGGCTATGGAGGTGGATATGGAGGTGGATATGGAGGCGGCTATGGGGGCAGCCAGTATGGCAAGCCCTGGAAACCCAAACCACCCAAGCCCAAAATGAAGCATATGGCAGGAGCAGCTGTGGCTGGAGTGGCAGCAGGCGCAGTGGGGGGTTACCTCTTGGGCAGCGCCATGTCAAACATGCAGTTTATGTTTAACAATCCTTATGAGCAGCAATGGTGGTATCAAAACCGCGACCGCTACTCCGACCAAGTTTACTACCCAAAGTATGACCAACCAGTTTCAAGGGACGTCTTCGTGAGAGACTGCACGAATGTCACCGTGACCGAGTACATTGAGCCCAGTGGTAACAGGACAGCAGATGACATGGAGAGAAAGATGGTGACACAAGTGGTGCACCAGATGTGCACTGAGCAGTACAAGTTGATGTCAGGTGTCACTTCGCTGCTTGCCAACCCTTCTGTGCTTGTAATGGTTACACTGATCTTGTGTTTCCTGTTACACTGAATTGTTTTCCTAAAGCTTCTCTCTTGTTGAGCTAGCAATGTGGAGCAGGGACCTCTATAAAGCATTCATCTAGTGAGAGAATACATTCTTGTATGTGCAATTTTTAATGGGTATGTTTAAGAGTTGTTCTATCTCTTAAGTATTCTTGAACATATTGGCTTCTTCAGAGAACACATGGTCCCTTTATAACCACCTGTGATTACTGTCTTTAGCTGCAAAAAAGTTTTGGGTGGGGAAAAGAGGGACATAAGCACATTTTATAACAAACCCTAGCCTGCTAGAAATCTGACTCCATTCTCAAATATTGACCAAGTCTGCGCTTACACACAATATACATAAGAATGACCAAGTAATTTTTGGCCAGCTACCATTGCATTGCACCTTGCTAGAAAACCTTTTTTTATTTTTATATCTAATGCAGCAATCATTTTGTATTATCACATAGTCTGGCTTTCCAAAGGACCAAGTATATCTTCACAAGGAAAGGTTTGCATTTTTTTAAAGGGCTTTGGCAACCAGAGCTGATCTGCATGATAGCCTTGGAGCTCTTGAGTGACCCATATCCAACATGACTGATTCACAGATAGACATTCTGAAGGCTATTCCACATGTCATAAAAACTTATTGCGTATGAAGCACAATTGCTGCAGATACACAGCGTGTGATTAATCTTGCTGAAGGCAAGTAGCCTTGAAACAAAGATACCATGGTGGAAATATTTTATTGAGAGCAGAAATTTTTTTTAAATGTCAGTTTTTGGAAGGTGAAGGAGCAGGTTGAAATATTATTATTTCTGTTAAGAAATGAGTTCTGAAATGAGTTCTAGAAATCTAAAGTTATTGAAAAATAGTAATTGCCGTAGTGGCACTTCAGACTTCAAGGGTATGATGAAAAATTACTTACAAGTAGACTAAGAATATGAAATATATATTCCAAAGAGAACTTCAATTTCTCTCCCTTTAAATGATAATTGTTCTGATTGGGATAAGCTTATCAGAAAGCTAATATGAATGATTCAATTAACATTAAGAGTTACGTAGCATCCAATAGATCCTTGGACCACAAAATCACTAGGAATTTGAAGATTTTAACTCTGGAGAACTTTGGAATTAACTTCCACTTCCAGTACCAAAGTCACTTTCATTGGCTTATTTAGAAAGTCAAAGAAATATAAACTGAAATTTAGAATTGTCTCTGGAACAACTGGAGAACCTGACAGTGCTACTAAATCACAGAACATTTTTGTATGTGGGAAAATTACTCATGCCATCCATGCTGATGTCTCAGTTGGCCCCAATACTGCTAGTTGGAATATAAAACACAGAATCATAGGGCTGGAAGGGATTTATAGTCCAACCCCTTGCTCAAGGCAGGAGGCCTTATATCATCCCAGTCAAATGGTTGTCCAGTCTATTAAGTAAGGAGACAGTGATCCCCTTTATCTTCAGCTACAGGTCGGAATAAGAAAATTAATGGAAGATCTTCTAATGAACTTTGATGTTTTGATGTTAAGCTTGTGAACTGATTTTGCGTAACTAGGTTTGGCATTTTGCATACTGAGGCACTATGTTAGAATTATTCTTTAAACAAGATTGCTACAAACCCTTTGCTCTTTCCACACCCTGCTTTTGCTTCCTTGTTGTTTTATTTATTTCCTTGAAGTTTGGGATGCAAAAGCTGACATGGCCTCCGCAAGTGTCACATTTTTGACCAAATGTTTCTTAGCAGAGTTTGTGTTTGTTATTTCTCCATTATATACAGTGAAGCTTAGAAATATTACTGCTAGAAACACAACAGCCACTGGAATTCAGCTAGCTTGAAGATGCCATAGTCATTTAATTTTAAGACCTAATTGAAAATTGTACTTTGGGCTGTAATAATTTTGTCTGTCCTAATGCTTTCAACCTATGGTGATTATAAACAGTACTTTTAAAAAACTATGGTGTATTTCAGTTGATTTGCTGATTGACACTGTGTTTGTACCAGATATAAAATGGTTAGTGTAGTAAAAAATATAATAGGATATGCTCTTTACCTATTGAGTATATCTGGTATATTTGAATATTTTGCCAGGTGATTACTGTAAAGGCCAACTTTAAATAGTGTTGTTTTCATATAAGAACACAAAAAAAAAAACAAAATTGGGGGAAATGTTGGATTTTGAAGTGACATATCAGTTGTCATCGGGATATTTTGTAACTCTAACTATGCATGGGCTTCATTTTGATTTGCAAATGTTTTTTTAATTAAATGTTTGATATAAAGTTAAAAATAAAATATAAGAAATAAACATTTGGACTATGTTAAATTATTCCTAATGATACAAGTATATTGTTCATATAAATTTACAAAAATAACCTTTGGGTCCACTTTGTTATTAAATGGAATGAATCATCTGGGCAGCTGGACTTTGGTTTTAGGAAAAGAAAGCAAATAGATTTTTAAACTGCATTTTGGGGATAGATAATGATTTGGACAGGATTTACAATAATTATTGTAACATTTGATCAATATTTATACACTACTTTTTCTTCTGAGAAAAACTGATTGTGGCTGTTTCATCTTCTTCTCAAATAATTTGAAAAGGCCTTGGATAATGTGTTTTTTTACTGTGCATGCACTTAATCTGAATATCACATTAAGCCAGAACAGTCTTTAAAATGGATAAACATGATTCATGGCTTAGTTTTACTTACTCACTTATTCACTGATTTATGTATTAATTAAATGTATACATTGCCCATCTCGATATCAAGCCCTATGGTGAAGTGTATGGGGAAAATAAATGTAATACAATCTCTCTGTCTCTGTCTCTGTCTCTGTCTCTGTCTCTCTCTCTCTCTCTCTCTCACACACACACACACCATAGAAGACCAGGTATTCTTATAATTTTAAGATACTATGAAGCTTGCAGGTGGGATGCTAGTCATGGTAATCCAAAATTAAATCAATGCACATTATTTTAGCTTGGTGTGAAAAGGCAATTCAGTCTAAGCAACTTCCTTAAACATATTTACACAGTCAGAGAATATAAGAGTTTGAAATGATTTTTTTTAATCAGTTAATGCAACTTCTTCCTTACTACAGCAGTGGATTTGCAAACAAGGACCAAATATAAGGCCAACAGACCTATTTTGGTATTATATAGGCCATAGTTTTATTTGGCAGTTTAGTTGAAAGGGTGAGAAAAATAAATGGAGATTAGCATGTCAAACAGCAGTTAACAATTAATCTTCAAATAAATTTTGTGTTGGAACAGTAATCGTCATGCAAGGAAATAAATGTGAGCACTATATATCATATGGAACATGTTAGATAGTAACAAATAACCAAAATAGCTTAAAAGTCTAGCTTCATGTTTGCAACATTCATGCTCAGATAGACTTTCCAGCTGTTCTTATATAGCTCTTTCCACCACACAAAGAAGGAAAATTAAACAAAAACACAAACACTGTATTACGTATACCCCAATTAGGATTTCTTTGGGATTTCTTAGTTCTTAATAAAATAGATGCTAAAGCTAGCTTAAAATTATTTTTCTGACCTTTTACAGCTGAATTAAGTCAAGAACCAAATGCAGAGATAACAGAAGGATTTTGCTTCCTCATTAGCCTTACTAGCTTAACCACACCTACTGATAGGAAAAGTCAAGCAAGGATGTTCAAGGAGTGCTGATCAATACATTGCTAATGAAGGATTGATAAAAAATTATTTAACTTCACATCTCATTTAAAGAAGACAGTTTTTCATGATGGGAATCCATCTTCAGAATTTAAGCCAAGCTTTTCTTTTCTCAAAGAGACCCCTTTTTAAAGGACTCCTTTCTAAAAAGGAAAATGGAATAAATCCAACTGCATTCTTTGTTTCAAGAGAAGAAGCACATTAATCCCTATGTCAGCTGCCTATTCTAGTGCTTAGGAACCCAAATGTATTTACTTACATATTTATGCATTAGTTGGATTGATACCCCATTGTAATTAACTGGCTCTCAATTTTGGAATAATTTCAATCCAAGCCAAGTCTCTTTCCACTTCTGACTTGTGACAACCATCACAGCATGGTAGAAAAGAATACTAAAGAGCTTAGTCCTAAAGGTGCTTTTTTCCAAAAGTCAACTGGACTTTCTCATTTTTTTTTTCTTTGAAAACATTTTGCTTTTCATCTAAGGAACTTCTTGGATGAGAACTAAAATGTTTTCAAAGGGGAAAAAAGACTAGACAGTCAAGGTGCCTTTTGGGGGAAAATAGCACCTTGGGATAGCCATAGGACAACTATGACCTGGATGATTGAGGATCTCCATAGACAATTAGAGTTTAAACTCACTTAGGTATTCAATAACATTTAAGAGGTCAAGGAAAACAAAAAATGGAAAACAACATAGAACCATGTGGCTTTCAAACAGTATTCTTAGTCTACAAATTATTAATGACTGGACAAAACTTCCCAGTCATATTTAAGGATAGAGATGACAATTTAGACAAAGAAGGCACAAAAGCAGTTTATCAAACAGGAGTCCCTGCAACCCCAGAACCACAAGTGATTTCAAATCTTCTTTCTGCAACCATTAACCCGCCCCCTCTCTATCCCTTCCATAATTGCTGAAAAGTGATAATTCAGCTTTCCACCATTCAGAGATAGGAACCTATAGGAAACAATCTAACATCAGTACATCATAGTTTCAAAAAAATGTTCAGCTCAACATTTGCAGCCCATCCAGATTCATGGTTTTTCAGCACCAAGTTTGCAGGTGTCAGATCCAACACTGTAAAACATGTTTGCCATCAAATGTTGCCTGCCTCTCTTTTGAGGCGTGTGATAGTTTTCATCACTCAGCAAAAATGGTTGACTAATCAGGTACATGTTGGAATTATCAGCTCCCATTAGAGGAGAGCTATTTTGGAAATAGTCAAACAAAGGATATCCAAACCTATTCAGGTGTTTGATTCCAATTGTTCAGAAAGTCAGTTTGGTTCCAAGATTGGACTTGAGGTGTATTTGAATGGAACCTTCAATTCAAACCTTGATGTATTCATTTTAAATAATCTCAGAAGTCTTCCTTCCTTCCTTCCTTCCTTCCTTCCTTCCTTCCTTCCTTCCTTCCTTCTCAAAAGCAACTTCTATTATCAAGTGAACTGCTAAAATATTTCCTGAAAACTGAACAGATTTCACTGAAGGATCGAAGCAATAGGAATGGGGGAATTATCCACTCTCTCCATCTTAAATTAGATTTGATGAATACAAAAAAGGAATCACTTTAGACTGATTCATGATGGCAATTGGAATTCATTCATAAGTAGCCTATGCATTGCATCTCTTTGCATCTGATGCAGTCTCCAGAAAAATATGAAACCACAACTAAATTATTGCTGGAGAGAGAGATTCCAGACCTCAGATAAGAGAATAGCAACCATGGAAGAGACTTAGAAAGCATAACCTTTAGAAGATTAGGAAAGGAGTGATTAAGGTAATGATTGAAATGGAAAAAGGATGAATTAGAAACAAAACATTCTCAAAAGAAAAATTCAAATCAGACACAGCATTGTTTGGGGCATTGTGTTCACTGACTCCTCTGGGACTATTAGCCAAAACTGCTCCTTCTCCATGTTTGAACTCACTTTTGATTTCCAGTGTAGTAGCTGTCTCTGGTTTATTATAATAGTAGCTGCCTGACATTGTGAAAACAGTCAAACGGGGGTACATCTCCATGCATTTTCCATTTGCCACTTGTGTCACCACTCTGGCTTCCAATTCATCTTCAGTTTGGTTTCCAGTGGGCTTCACATATTCTCCCATGGTGACATTTACACACTCACTCAGGAAAACATCTCTTGAAATTGGCTGGCTAGAGTTTGGGTGGTAAACATGGGTGGCAAAACGGTGGCGGTTTTCATTCCACCAACGTTCTTCCTCACTGTTGTTAAAATAAAAATACATCTTGGCTATGGGGCTGCCTAAGATGTAGCTCTCAGGGTCTTCCGCTGAAACATCCACAACAGGTACCCCCACTACATATTTCACTTCATCATCCTTTGGCTTTGGGTCCACTGGGTTGCCACCATGAGGTCTGGAACTGTCTCCTGAAGAGCTGGAGAAAGTACGATACTGCTCAATGCACATTTCCTTCACCACATGCTCCACCACCCTGGCTTCCATCTCATCCTCTGTTGTATTCCCAGTGGGCTCAATGTATTCTTTCACTGTGATGTTCACACAGTCTCTCACAAAGATATCTTGTGGAACAGGCTGGATGTACTGAGGGTAGTAAACCTGATCAGAGTAACGATGGCGATTTTCATACCACCACCGCTCCTCATTCGGGTTGTTAAATTGAAAATGCAGATTAGACATGGCACGTCCCAGGAAGTAGCCTCCAAGAGCTCCTGCTGCTGCACCTGCAATTGCTGCTCCAGCCACATGCTTCATCTTAGTCTTGGGGGATTTAGGTTTCCAGGGTTTGGGATTATAGTGTCCCCACTGAGGATTTTGGGGATTATATGGTTGGTGTGGGAAATACCCAGGATTTTGAGGGTTGGCTGCATATGGTGGAGGATGTGCTGGGTTTGGGGGTTTGCCCGGATATGGTGGAGGATGTGCTGGGTATTGAGGGTTGACGGGATATGGGGGAGGATGTCCCGGATTTTGAGGGTTGACCGGATATGGTGGAGGATGTGCTGGGTTTTG